TATAAAAAATTTTTTATATATTTATTGTATATAAAATAAAAAATAATCAATATAGGATTTAAATACCTCGAGTGCTAATACAAATATAAAAAATTCAGAGATGCAAAAATAATAAAAAAAATATTGCACTTTTGTAAAATAATATGTTATATTAATAATTAATTATTTTACTTTAACTATAGCTATAAAGTATTCATATCTGGATGGGCTCTAAACTCAAATAATAAGAACCTTAAATGAGAATCATGAAAATAAATACTAAAAAATGATAAACATTTATTAGAAAATATGTTTCATACTAGAACAGCAAATTTAAATAACAAATTTTCAGCTCAAAAAATGCATGAAGAGTGGAGAACTGGACGGAAATGACATATCTAGAATTTTTATCATTTAGAATTGAATTAGTGGCTTCTCATAGAAATGGAAAGAAATTATGGTTATGCGTGAATTAGAAGCAAGTGAAAAATGTTAGGATTGTATATAAAATAAAATCTAAATGCATAAAATTGCATAAAAATATAATCCTAATTGCTTCTGTTTATCAAATATTAATAAATAATAATAGTATATGCCTAAAATACTCACATATATATATACAGTATATATTTCTGTCAAATCTGATGCTACCTCAAAGTAAAATTTTAAATAAATAAATAAATTTGTCAATTTATTTTATTAAATATGATATTTGGCATTTAAGATTTTATCATGTGTATTTTGGTGATACAGCGAAATCATTTGCGATTTTTATATTTTGCTAATTTTATTATTTTTAAATAATCTTGTCCTGAATTTATATAGTAATTTATTGTTACTTATATATAAATCAGATCTTAAATAAAATTAATTTAAGTAGTAAAGTAATTAAAATATTTAATATTCTTTATAATTAATGATGCTATTTGAATCCTATTTTAATGTGTAGCTTAAAAATTTAGAAACTATTTTGAAACCTTTAAAATAACTTTTTTTTAAATCTATAACTTGATGAAACTTAATTGAGTTTAGAAAAACCTATTAAAAGTTTAGATAAAGGTATTTATTATAAACAAATAGTTTTATTTCAAATATCACGAAACTCAAATTTTCTAAAAATAATTTAGAAAGGCATCTTTATTTATAATAATCAATATAGATTAATCAAAAACCTATTTATGATCCAATTATATTTAAATCAATATTAAAAATAACTGATAAAGATTTAGTTAGATTTTTTAATGAATTATTTATTAAAACTAATTCTAATACTAAAAATAATAAAACAAATAAAAAGTAACAAAAATAAATTAGTTTCTTTATGTTATTTTTTAGCTATAAATATATTAATAGTATTAAAGTAGATATTAGATCATATTTACAAACTTCTGAAGCTTACTTTTCTTTAATTGATATATTAACAAATATTGGAATTTCAATAACAAGAAAAACTATAGATTAACAAAAATTTAACTTCAAATGAATACTAATAATCTGTTAATAATTATTATTTATAAAAGTTTATTCTTAATATAGATAATTATCATAATATTTATAGATATAATCAACTAACATTAATATAAACACATAATTTTTATCATTTTGCAATAATCTTATTAAATACAAATTCTAAAATTTTAAAAATATTATTTTATTTATTAGATAATATTTCGATACATAATTTTAATGGAAATAATATGTATCTTATTTTACATATAACTTATTATAAATGGAAAAATATTCATGATCTGTTATAAAAAGATTTGAAATATAAAAGATGCTGAATATTAAATGATAATTAATTTATTATATAATTCAATTTCATTTACTTTAGATATATATATAATACTTTTTAGAAGTGAATATTTTGAGAGATATTTAAAAAGTATTATAAAAATTTGGATATTATTTTAATGATTAAGAAAACATAATTATAATAAAGTATCGCTTATATATTTAAGTGATGTGTTTTATTAGGCTTCAAAATAAGATCTAATTATTAATGTTTTAAAAATAATTTACCAATTTTCAACAATTATTTTGTTGAAAATTTTCATAGTTCTTAAGATATTAAACAGCAGAATCTAATTCAGATTTACAAATTATTCAAAAAACAAAAATTATTGATGTTGAAAAAAATAATAACTCTTTTTTTGAAGATTCATTTGTTAATTTAAGAAATCCAGCTAAATCTCAAATTAATAAATTAAATTCTTTAGAAAAAAAAGTTTCATTATTTCTATTATTAATTTTTAATAAGATTTATCAAAATTAGAAAATATAAAACAAATTAATAATAATAAATATCCAAAATTATCTTTCAAGTTTTGATATAAAAGTAGATATAAAAGTGTTTTCTTTAGATTAGAATATTAAAAAAAGATATGCTGATAATAAATTTTGTGATGCAGATAATTATTTATTATTAATTAATATAGATTTATTTAATAGAATTGTTTTAATTTGTGAATATAGTTTTTATCAAAAATGCTTAAGTATTTAATTTGATAAAAAATGTATTTATTATTTTAATTATTTTTTATCTGAAATAACAAGAAATAAAAGAAATATTAAAAGTATAAATAAGAAATTATTTGCATCTTTAAAAGAAAATGAATTTTTTATATTTAAAAATGAAAATAATAATAATTATGAAAATAATGATAAAGATGATAATACTATAGAAGAAATATTAGAAAGAATAGAATATAATATAGAAAATCAATATAATATAATATATCAATAATAGCTTAATTATGATAGTATATAATTTATACAAATAAAATTTTAATTTAATAAATTTAATTAATAATTATAAAATTAAATTGTAAATATTATTACTAGTAAAATTTACTTAATATTATTCAATTTTAATAAAATTTAATATTAGAATACTACATAATTATATATATTTATATATAAGAATTTAGTATATATTATGTAGAATTTTTCAATCAGAGCTAATTTACTAAAATAATAAATTAGTTTAATATATTTTTTATGTTATTACAATCAGTTTACTCTAGTAAAAAGTATCTAATATTAATTTGATTTCAATAAAAATTGATATTATAATAACTTGTAATAGTATTTACCTATATATAAAATTTTAATGTATATTATTATATAAGATTTCTGATTAGAGTTAATAAACTTAAATAAAAATCATTTTACAGTATTTATTATGTGATAAAATAAAAATAATCAGAAAATGATTAGCAAATGATTAGTAAAATTATTTGCAAATTATGATAAAATTAAGCATAATTGCTATGCTTATTGAAAAAAATAATCTTTTTTTCTTGTTGGATTTTATTTAAGAATTTTTACATCAAAAAAGTATTTATTCAAAGATGATCATGACTTAGCCTGCAAACAAAATAAAAAACCCCTCTTTTCAAAAATATTCATTTTTTTATTTCCCCTATCTCTATCTATATAAAAATTGCTGTTGAAGTCAAACTGTGTTGTTTTTTGTTAAAATATTTTTTTTTAACTCTCTTTAATATATTTTTTTCAATTTTTTCATTTTTAAAAAATTTGACTACAAAAGTGAACATCAAGAGATATTCAAATTGATGATTAGAATCAACATATTTTGAATACATAAATTCATATGATGATATTCCTTATTTCTTCCTAAACAGTAACATTCTTTTTTATAAATCTTTGACTTCAAAAATTGTGAAATCTCACGCAGCATTTTTTGAACTTAACTGATTGTGTGATTTGATCTTATATTATATTAGGGTTTAACTATAATCTGAATTGACAGACATCATAGCATTAAAAGCGATAGTCTGAAGAGTACTTCTATTGAAACTTGGTGATATAGGCATATTGGATGGTCATTATAATTGTAAATTAACTGGATAACTTAGCTAGAAACTTAATAGAGTCATTTATTTATAACTTTTTATATGTACCTATTTCCCTTCTTTGTGATTTGGTGAACAGTTGTTATTTTTATAGTTAGGATCGAAGGACATATAGAATAATCTTTACTGTAGTTACTACTCATTTTCTGGGGGTAGTGAAATTTTGTTAAAAAATTTTTGTCATCAGACAGTGTTTGGTAGATCTTAGTTTAATCCTGATTATTATTCAAAGATAGTATCTTTTTTTTATCAAAACTTCTGGTATTTAATTGTTTTAATTACTTGTTATATCAATAAAGTTTAAGATGCATTATCACATCAAATTTAAAAATGCAATAAAATAAAATGGTATGCTCACTAAAAAAAACTCTTTTTATCTCATTGGATTTTATTCAAGAGTTTTTACTTTAAAAAAGTGTTTGTTTAAAGGCAACCACAGCTTAGCCTGTGAACAAAGTAATAAACCCCTTTATATAAATTATAATTTAGATTTATTAAAATAGCATTTTTTATTTATAGTTGAATTTAATGGACAATGATATCATAAAAAACAAATATATTAAATGATTTATGTTACCAATATGGGTATTAATTTTGATGATCGTAAAATTATATAACGTTAACTAATATATTAAAATATTAATTAATATTTAAAAAAAGAAGATAGTAATAAGTTTTTCACCAGATATCATTGTCAGAATCCCATTCTGACTGACATTATATCAAATTCAAATCGCGACTCAGTCACAGCCTCAGTCATTTGAAAATTCCGTAGTCGACTCATATGTTTTTGTTTCTTTTTATTTTATCTTTGTATAAAATTATAATTTTTAATAAAATATATACCAGTATTGTTATTGTCGACTCTTTTAAAAAAAGATAAAATGCAATTACCATAAATAAAACATAATATACAAATAAGACCGAAATAAATAATTTATAAGATTTTTCCTTTATTAACAACAATGATAAAAAAAAATTTAATTTTTCCTTTATACTAAATAAAAGCAATTTTTTTTGATATTGCATGTGACGAACATTTATAGAAAATAAAGATACCTAAGGATGTTAATTTGATTCGAAAAAAATGATTAACTGGAACTCTTCAAGAGTCCTTCGATCCTTCGAACATGAACTGCTGCGTCATTGCATATATCCAAGGTTACTCTGTAGTTGGAGCGTTATAGGCCCAGCTGAATCGCCAGATGGGTTCTTCATCGTAGCAGTGAGTATTTTGTTTTTGTCGTCGGCTGTGCAATTGAAGGCATAGTACCCGTCCCCGAAATAGAACGTGTTGGGGTCCTTGTTATTCTTGTCTTCATGCCTTTGCTTGTCATTCACATCGTGATTCACCTTTAGTTCCCCTTTGTTATTCTTTGTCCATTGCCAATGCGCGGTCACTGGCAAGTCTTCACCTAGCCTAGCTGGGAGGACGACGATAAAAAGCTCGTTCGCGGCGTAACCATACCAATTCAGTTTACCGAGGTAAGTTCGAGGTTGAGAAGGATAAAACTTCTGAAGAACCATCTCTGATGAAGTATCTCCCTTAGTATTTCGCATGAAGATGGAGAGCTGGGCACCGTATTGCTTAGAAGTGATTTCGAACGTGTAGTAATTGTTGCATACGCAGGAGAACTTAACTTCCCCTGGGACGCCAGTTTGAGTGACGCTGGTAATAGTAGTTTCGGATAGGATATTGACTTTGAGATTTCCTCTGCTATCTTTAGTCCATTGCCAACAGAGATTGATTGGGTCATTGAGACGTTCGCCGCAAGGAAGTATCACGGTGAAAGCTTCGTTGACAGCGTATTGATACCAGTTCATCTTGCCGCGGTAGATAGACATTTTTCAAGCGCAGAGGCAAAAATCAGAAACGAATGATTCAGAACTTTAGACAATTGAGATAGTATGTTTAGTGTAAGGTTTGAAAACCGAAAGGAATATTACAATAAATATCAACGAACGTTCTTATAACAGTTCATAAACTATTTTAAGTACGTTTTCCCGGGTAAATGGTTTTCGGAAACCTTTAATATTAGCCTGATACGCCAAAATTCGTGACATAATTTCAATTATTCTGCAATAAAACTCACATGAAGAAGTTTTCCGCATTATATTTGCATATCAAAAAAGGTTTTAGAACAATTTGCACTTGACGCACTTTATCAGCGTCAAATAAGTTCAGATGACAATGACAATCATTTTACATTGTGAATGTTGTGATGTATGGAAAAAAATCGGGTCAGTTTCATTGTTTTGATAAAGGAAAAAATACTGATTTGAAATAACTTCGGCGCTAAGTGCTTTTACTAATATCACTTCGCATAAAGGTAAGCTCGCACAAAGGCGCCTTTCGCATTTTTATCTGTACATCGACAAAGGCTTCAATAAAGACAAAAGCAGTTTGATGTAATACGAATTTCATATTTACTCGCTTATATCCGGAAGTGATCAGAACCTTGAGATCTCTCAATGATCATATACTGATTATGATATGAAGACTACGCGTTTTGTTACTGTACATCATCGATGCGAGAGATTTTGGGTATCATTGAAGAGTGCAAAATTGTATGATATCTATTGTTTAGGTACGTAATAAACTCATGCATTTTTCGCAATTTTTTTTATCTGAATACAGCAATCCCTTTAAAAAACGGTTTGGTGACAGAACTTGGAGTCTGTCGAAAATGAGTCTTATGATTACACACATTCACTCAGGTGGTCGAAGATATTTAGTAGTACCAACCGTGGTAAATTCAGATATTTAACAAAAAAAATTTTAATATTTATTTAAAATTGAAAGTAATACATAATTATAAGTTTTCACCAAAATAGTATTGTCAAAATCCCATTCGGCTAAAAATATGAACTTTTATTTGAAAATTTCGCGATGTTCTGACATAATATCAAAGCTCAGTCATTTGAAAATTCCAGAGTCGACTCTACTTGGATTTTGCGACTCCAACGGCTGGCACTACTAAATGAGCCTCTTGCATAACTAAGAATTTGGGATAAATGCATTGATTTATTTTCCAATTCCAAAGAAATCATTATATTGAAATGGAAAGGTATGGAAAAAATTCGAATAAATGATACGAAATATTTTATTAAATTCCGATATTTTGAAATGTACACAAATCGTTTATTTAAATACTTATTTATAAATAAAGTGTGACAGTGGACTAGAAATTATTCATTCTTTAATTAAATAATGATGGTTTTAACATGTTGGAAGAATATTCTAGATATTTGTTATCTTATTAACACAGCATCTTAAATTCCCGGTAGGAAATATTCAATAGCGGTAACAAAGTTTAATAGTATATATATCAAAGATATAATGTCTTATTCGTTATCATCAATCATCAATATTTAAGCCTATTAACTAGAAATGTATGAATTAAATGAATTGGCGGGTGCAATAAATCACGCAAAAAATAAAAATATACAAAGATACGCCGAAGTGCTTAAATGCATATTAATTTTGGTAAGAGTCTATAACTAAAAAGAAAAAAAACTTACCATCAATAATTTCGTAAAATTTCGAACGAAAAAAACATGCTGTGCTGTAAACCTTAACGGACGGAAATGGGATGAAACATTTCTAAGGTTTACTTTTATGTAAGTCAAAATTGTAATTCATTAAAGTTGGCTTAATGTTTGGTATTTGTTCATCAGCTTCACTAAATTTCTTCTAACCATCGAAACTTTTTGTTGAGATTCTTCAAGTTATTTTTCGTCATATGAATCATAATTGACCATACGTCTTATGAATTCACTTGAAATAAACAACAAATAAATATTTCACTAGTAACATCCTCTCAATTCTGGATCAACATTCATACATTGGAAATCAAATTTCTTATAAAATCAGACGTAATCCATTATATATGTTCATTACCAAGTTCTTGATCTATATAGGGATGATATTTCAGTCATTATACCCCAAAACTGAAGCTTTAGAATATGGTTTGCTACGTAATTCTTCAGGATCCACGTATGATAAAACCCCATAAAATTTTTCATCAGAATTATTTGTCGGTCCTGCTTACCTTTCCGCAAATATTACCACTATGGAATTTTATGACAAGAACCTTTCTCATATAAATGTTTAAGATTTTGAATAATACAATATAATATTTGAAGTTTATCATTTTATCAAATTTATTTTTTTTCGTAGATCCAAATATCTAAATTTTAAAAGCTTGCCTTCTGATGCTTTGCTTAATGTATAATAAAGTTCCCACCTATCAGTAATTACATTAATAATTTTTTTTTCTTTTCGTAAATATCAAAAAAAAAGTTTAAAATAATATATTTACCTCATTTAAATATTCGTCTAAGACTTTTTTGAACCTTTAACAATTTTAAGAGCAACGGTGAAAGTTTCACGACATGTTTGTAAAATTTCCTTCTTGTTCCACAATCGTATTGCATCTATCCACCCAAGTTGCCGAATAAATTTTATCAAAGCCTCCTACACCAATTTCGTTTATGTATATCTTCAATTCCATCAAAATCTATTAATTCAATAAATCCTTCAAATTTTCTGCATTGGTAGTATTTATTTTTTTACAATGTTTATATATTCCATTCTTTTCGCTCTCTCTTTGGACTATTTGATAATCGGATAATTTTTTTCTCAGCAATTTTACCAGCAAATCTTATGAGCTTGGATAAACCTTATTTTGTTTTATTCCTTATTTGCTTTTATTTATTATTTTTGCCCATTTTTGTTTCATAAATGTGCTACCTAATTATAAACAGGATATGTATCCCGTATTTGACAAATACAATGAAATCCTTTTTTTAGTTTGTTTCATTATATCTTTAAATTTACAAAAAACTGCGTTAAATAGGTTTGAATTTCATTTAACGAACCATGTCTTTGCCGTGGGAAAATTTCCTAATTGGGAATATATCTGCACATTTTATGACGTAAGTTATTTATTTAGTCTGTTAAATAAAAAGCCACGATCCTCAACTCTTTTTTTTTTCCTCCAAATGTGAAAGGAAAAAAAAAATATATAATTTTTTTACAAAATGAATTACCAAGGATCTGATCCTATAACAATTAGACAAAATAAAGTTATTAAGCAACCATTGTCAAGCTCTGTAAAATCATGGGCATCTTCATATTCTCGAAGCCAACAATATAATATTAATCAAGAACTAAATGGTTTATTACAAAGCGAATTTGATAATGAAGTAGAAAACGATCATAATGCTTTATATACTAGCAGCGAGAGATCTGATGTTCACAATAATGAAAGGACCCCTTTGATTTCTCAACCTGTTATTATTGAGGAATTAGAAGATGCTCAGGATTACAAGACGTTGATGCATCTTGGAAAGTCCACTTTTAATCAAACTGTTTTCAATGCTGTGGTATGATAAAATTTTATACATTTTTATTTTTTCGTTAACAAATAAAAAGAAAGACGTTTCATGAAAAATTTCCATCATCCTAATTAGAACATATTGATGGGAATTGCGATCTTGTCTTTTCCACTTGCGTTCAAGTATGCGGGATGGTTTTTTGGAATATCAATATTCTTATTCTGCTTAATACAAACAAATTATACGGCAAAGCTTCTTAAAAAATGCCTCGATACCGATCCTGATTGTTTTACCTATGCCGATCTTGCTTCTTTAGCTTTCGGTCAAAAAGGAAAATTAATCATGGGAGGTTTATTCATGATGGATTTGTTTAACGCGGCGTATGTATTATCCATGACCTTCATTTTTTGATATATAATTCTTACACATTTTAATATTTTAATAAATAAAATAGAGTCGTTATAATGATTCTCGTTGGTGATTCACTCAAAACTCTCTTTCCACATGTCGGTCTGGTGCAATTGAAATTGATCTCATTTTTTATAATAACTCCTATAACGTGGATGCCCATCCATTTCCTATCATATGCATCGATATTTGGAATAATTTCTACGTTGTCGGTAGCGGCTGTTATATTAATAGATGGTTTTACCAAGCTCGAACCTCCAGGCAGTATTCTTAATCCAATGGATACATCTTTTTTTCCATCGAATTGGATGACTCTACCTTTGGCATTTGGTCTTATAAACGCCGGGTTTGCAGGTCATGCCGTTTACCCTTCACTTTATCGTGATATGGCAACACCCGCATCGTATAATCGTATGGTCGATTACAGCTATTTAATCTCAAGTCTTGTTTACATTATTGTCGCAGCAAGTGGTTATCTGATGTTTGGACCGGATACCTTACAAGAAGTTAGTTAAATCTCCTCGGTTGATTTTTTTTCCTAACCTTATGTTGGTGTGGAAGATTTTCTTACAAATTAGACTTTTATAGATAACGTTAAACATCATGACGACCAAGGGGTTTAGCGTCCTTCTTAATTCTATTGTGGTTTGGATGATTGTTATCAATCCATTATCTAAATTTCCTCTCGTCGTAACCCCGATAAATCTAATTTTTGAAATTGGATTCTTCAAAATACCATTTGTTTATCAATTGTTCGCGTCAAAAGTTGCAAAATCTTTTTACATCATAATATCCAGGACTATATTGTGTTCCTTGGTCATATTTACTGCAATATTTCTTCCAGATTTTGATCGTGCAATGGTAAGTTTTGGTGCTTTCTTTTTTTTAAAAAAAAAGGAAAAGAAGAAAAATTTTTGTATGCTTCAAATAAGGTCTCTTAACCTTGTTTTTTAAAAAATTTATCAATTTTTAGTCACTACTTGGATCATTATTCTCTTTCCTGATATGCGGAATCTTCCCGATATTATGTCATTTAAAACTGTTTGGTAATCAATTATCAAATAAAGAACTTACATGGAATTTGATTCTTTTGATGT